GAACACAACTCTCTACATCAACAACACGGATGTCTTAAGCTGCTGTATGTGTATTTATGACTCAACAGATTTGGTCATATTTCCAGAAGACCTTTAATAAACTATAAAAGAACCTAAATGCATGATTGGAGGACACGTGGTTCAATTAGGAAACTCAAGGCGGACATGATGTACGTGGTCCTTATGAGTGGATGTAAGCTTTTGTTCACGACTGCATTTAAAACACTCTGACATGTGGAACAAGCCTTTCTTTAAGCACACAGCTCGGACAGTGTTGCTTGTTTGACTTTGTGCTGGAAGGGAAATGTTGTGAAGTGTGAAATCCATCCTACAGTCAGACACAAAGCTTCCTGTTAATCCGACAGATGCCACCATATCAACAGAGTGCAGGGCTGGAGATTCCAGAGAACGACATCATCTTTAAGTGAAACTGTTCTTGAAGTCCAAACATGTCTCCAGAGCACCACTACTGATGCTCCGTCCTGTTGGTGTCACTTCATGCGGGTAAGCGTGACATGAATGTCATCATCCACCCAAACCCACAAGGCTTTGTGCAACATGTGCCAAGAAAACGAGTGGCGCTAAAACAAATGTTTGGTTTGAGGAGATCCACACCTTTGGGATTCATTATGAGAAGTGTTGCAGCTGGAGGACTTTGGAGGAGCTTTGATTTGTGCATGTTTACCATCGAAGGAGCGCAAAGCAAAGCAGGAAGCTCTAAATTCTCCAGATGTCCTGCTCTCTTATCTGGACCCTTTAACAGCTAGATTCATTTTAAGGGGCAATGCAAGCATCTGTGCAGACCAGCGTGGCTCGACTGTGCTTTAATTAACCCAAACCCTCGATTTTATTTCTAAACATGGAGGACGTCTCACCTGCACTTCCCCCCTGAAACCTACACCTGTGTGTGTCTGTGTCACACCTGAACGGCCGTGTGTGTCCCTAAGTGCTTGCAAATTTGTTATCTGCAGATCAAAAACCTCGGAGTGTGTTTTTAAACCTCCCGATATCTTTCTCACCTCGAGGCACACACCCACCAAGACACACAAACACCGAGCCGCTGAAGCGTTCGGTCCTTTGATATCGGAGCTGAGCGTGAAGACTTCCTCCCAGGAATCAATCGGAGCTCACCCGAGAGGCGATTGGATGATCCGCAGGGCTGCCATTGGCCCTGCAGGCGTGTCCGGAGAACCATTCATCTCCTGATCGACACTGTGGTGTAAACACAAACCGGCCCGTTCAACCTCCGGTGTCAGTTTCTGCCACAAAGTGAAGAGTGGGAGTTTATCAGGAAGAGGCCTCGCTGGGAAACACTCGGACATGCAGCCATGTGCTGGTAGATGACAACTAGAATAACACGGTTTGGAAATAATGAATCATTCTAGATGATTGAGGTGATTTTGTAGAGAACCGTGAAGCAGCTGTGAGACCAACATTTACTTCTAATGAGTTCTAAAGTCAGATTTACCTGAAGCCAGGTGAGTTTATCTCCATAGGCTGTTATTAATTATTTCATTCATGCTCATTTAACTGTGGGAAGCTAAAACGCTGAACTGTGCTGCCCTACAACAAAAGTTGTTTCTTTGTTTGCAGCCAAGGCTTCCTTTTCGTTCATGTGTAAACAGGATACGAGGTAATATTACCCATTACACTGGCATAAGCAAGATCATGTTAGCCACGAGACAATCTTAGCCACTACAGTAGTCAAAATAAGATAATATTAGCTGCTAGCCTAAACAAGACAACATTAGCTACTGTATTAACGTCAGCAAGATCATGTTAGCAGCTACGTTAGCCTAATCGAGATAATCTTAGCCACTACAGTAGTCAAAATACCATTAGCCTCAGCAATATAATGTTGTCGACTATGTTAGCCTATGCTAGGCAACGTTAGCAGATAATTTGAGCTTGAGGGTGAAAAAAAACAATGAATGACAAATGAAATTTTGCAGCTTATGCGACATGTGGCCTGATATCAGCGACTCTGCACTGAATCCAAACACACAACATAACAACAGCCATACGGCACATCGACCCGATGCGGTAACGGTGGCGGTTAAACCTGGACGCTGGTGACTGTTGGCCTCCATGTTGATGCTGTGAAACACAATCAGTTCAGGTTTGTGTTGTTGTTCTGGACGCCTGCATCAGAGCGTTACTGTGGACGTATTTATAGATTTATAGCATAGTTTAGTGTCAGCGTCACGTCCTGGTTGGTAATCTTTCCTCCATCCGGCTGCACCGACCTGGTCTGTCTCCATGTGAGTCCTCCCGACCCTCCTGCTCTCTCCTCCTGTCTGGCAGGTCAGACAGCGACAGACTTGTGTTTTTATTAATTCATAGTAAAGTTGGTTAAAGTTTGCAGGAGGATTTCAGACAGCCCAGCTCGCTTCTAAAAGCGGCACTGATGTCATAAGACATTATGAGTGACCCACCAACCTCCTGGCTGCTCAGCTTTCCCGTTTCGGTTTGTTTGTTTGTTTGTTGACCAACAGTTCTACTCAACGCCCTCGGTGCTAAAGTGACTCCATGACTGTTCTGTGAGGCGTTCCCTCCGACTCAAGCCAAGCATTCGTTAAAACTCATACAGCTGAGTAGAGACGTCACAATACCAGAAACTTCTGCCCCTTTCTGTCACTGAAATCCACAATTCTTGATTCTAACTTCAGTATTTATAAAGTAATCAATCGAATGAATGTTGGGTCGGGAGGGACACGTCCTGTACAGTTTGGTTTGGGCTGAATAACGTTAAGAACATCTGATTCAGTTGAGTTAAGTTAAGCAGCGAGTACATCTCCGCCACACATGAACACATGTTTCTGTCAACAACTGTTCTTTTACAGTTCTGTCAAAGATGGCAGAAATTAAACGTCACCACAGTTGGATGAGGTTAGTTTGCCAGAAAAGTCAGTGTCGGGCAGAATTATGTGCCACTAGAAACTGAACTGGTACCACATAATCTCAATATTTAATCTGAATTGCTAAACTTGAATAACTGTATTAAAAAATTAGTTTGAATTCATTATTTTTGAAATTTAATTTATTAGACTGAAACTGAATTCAGCTCCATATTCAAAATTCAGATTCACTTCTTCGAAATTTAAATTAATTTCTTGAAATTCCATTTTCAGATCGTCAATCAACACATGAATCCAAAACATGCTGGATGCTGCTGGTGGATGACTGGTATGACTGGTATGACTGGTATGGACGACTGAAAGCTTATCGCAGGTTTTTATGGGTAAGTTAAGTCTCTGTTTAATCAGTAATTAGCTAGCTAGCTAAGACAACAAAGGGGTCTAACATGAGCTTTTCAGGGATAAAAGCTGGAGATTGGACTGCTTGTAGTCCTGGCTAGCTTAGCTAATGTTGTCTTGTTTAGGCCAGTGTCGTAGCTAACGGCATCTTGCAAAGGCTACATAGCAGATGTCATTATATTGCTTAGGCTAATGTATTAGCTTTGCCTAGACTAACAGTACATTTTCCTGCTTAGGCTAATATAGCATCCAACATTATGTTGTTTATGCTAACATAGCATCTAACATCATGTTGTTTAGGCTAATGTAGCGTCTAACAATATGTCATTTAGGCTAAGGTAGCATCCAACAGTATCCTGTATAGAGTAATGTAGCATATAATATTAGATTGTTTAGACTAATATAGCATTCAATATTATCCCGTATAGACAAATGTAGCATCTAACATTCTGTTTGTAGCATCTAATATTATGTCGTCTAGGCTAATTTACTAGCTAAAATTATCTTGTAGCATTTCGTGTTGAGGCTAACTCTCAGACCTCACTGGTCACAGACTTTCTGGTGTCTGTCTGCACATCTCGTTGAATCACTGTCAGAGCCCAACAAACTAAATGCATCAGAGCTCTTTAGATTCATCTGTGGGTAAATGTTGGAGGTTAAAGTGTTAAAAGTTGTTGGATGTGACTGTAGTTAAAGGCTGAGGCGGCTACCAGCTCTGATGAACGTTGTGGACGGTTTCCTACATGAAGGTAGAAGCTGGACGCTGGTCTGCAGCAGCTTGAGCTGAGGATTCCTCTCCGCTCATTAAACGCTGAGCGATTGTGTTACTCAGATTGTTTTGGTAAAAACATCCTGGATGGGCTCAAAGTGTTCCAGCCAAAGGTTATTGTTTGGAGTCAGACTATATGTGCAGCCTGAGGGCCCTGTGAGGAACACAGATGGACACCACGAGGATCATCTGCAGGACAAACCTGGGAATCGACAGGATAGAGAAGGAGCTCCGCTGTTTAAACTATCACTTCTATCTGAGACATGCTTTGGAGCATTATTATCCAAGTTATTGATACTTTGGAATAATAATAGTCAGATGTTTAATACTGAAGAACCTTAATATCCAGGTTATTGATACCTTGGAACATTGACTTCCAGGTTATTGATACTTTATGAAGGTTAATGTCCAGATTATTGATACTTTAGAACAACAACAGCCACATCTTTAATACTTTAGGACCTTAATAAAAAGGTTATTGATACGTTGAAACATTAACTTCCAGGTTAAGGATATTTTGGATCATTAGTATCCATGTTGTTAACACTTAGGAATGTTAACCTTCAAGTTATTGATACTTTAAGCCATTAATATTCAGGTTATTGATACTTAAATAGACTCATATCCAGGTTATTGATACTTTGGAATATTAACATCCAGGTTATTGATTTTTTGGAACGTTGATATTCAGGTGTTTGTTACTTTGGAATGTCAATGTCCACATTCTTGGTACTTTGGAGCCATAATATTCATGCTATTGATACTCAGGAACATTAACATCCAGGTTATTGATGCTCTGGATCACTGGTATCCAGGTTATTAACACTTCAGAACGATAATATCCAGGTTATTGATATTTTGGAACGTTAATATCCATTTTATTTTGGCACTAAAGAACATCAGCTTCCAGGTTCTTTGTCCTTTAGAATGTCAGGAACCAGACTTTGCAGCACAAACACATCACACACACTTTGTTGGTTTCTAAAAGCACTTTATTGACTATAGTTTGTGATTTGCTGCATGCAACTAGAAACATTTCAGCTAACTTACAGTTCACACTCTGTACAGGTCGTTACACAAACGGTGAAAACGCACACACCGACTCGTCGGACGCACCCCTGCTCCCACAAGTCCCGTCTGGAAAAGTCGATGCGTCCGAGCAAAATCTCTAAAGTAAAGTCAGTACGACGACTTCTGCTGTGGCTACTGGATAGAAAAGACGGAAATCAGGGCAGCGGTGGAGGACGACATCGTTAGTGGATACTACGGTTTGCGTTTGGTGAGTCGGAGCGCAGACACACTGGTGCGCTTGTTAAAAAGCCATTTCCAGCCTCAGTGCTTCATGTCTTAATCATACGAGTCTCCGGTTTCCCGCCCGAGTCGCTCCGTCCTCCGTCTTTCCCTCCACGTCAGAGTTAAACCGCCTCTAAATCTTTAACCTCCAGCTTCACACACGACTCTACTTCGTTCTGTCGACCTGGAGATCTGATCACGTTGGACAGGCTTTAGGACGTTTTGGGACTTTCTCTGGACCCATTTGGTCACCTTGGTCCATGTTTGGAGCGTCTGTGAGCAGGTTTTATCATTATCATCTGGACACGCGTAGCCGCATTGGACCGTTTCTGAGTCATTTCAGACACGTTTTTATCACATTGGACACGTTTTCAGACATCCTGAACACACATCCAGATCAGTTTTAAACAGATTGTTGTGACACTGGACGAATTTTGAGGCATTTTTGACAAAGGCTGAGTCATCTAGGACACATTTCGGGGTCACTTTTGACAGTTTTTTGTCACATCGATCCATTTTTAATCATTTTGTTCACGTATATGTCGCACAGGAACGTGTGTGAGTCTCTTTGTACAGGCTGACGTTGGACACGTTTTGATTTTGAGTAATTCTGAGTAAATTTGGGAAAGTTTTCAATGATACTGACCACATTTTGAGACACTTAAGATCATTTTTTGCATGATTTTTGACAGGATTTAAGACATTATAAACACTGTTTTGAAAGAATTTTATAACAACGGTAGTCATTTTGTTCATTCAGGTTTTTATCACATTGGACAAACTGTGAGACCTTTTGGCTCCTGAATCTTGAGTCAATATGTTTTTGTCATATTGGATAACTTTTGCCTCATTTTGGACCCTTTTTCTTGTCGTTTATGTCGTCCTCGATGATTTTTGAGTTGTTATGGACACATTTAGTCATAACGGACACTTTTTGAGTGATGGTGGAGAATTTTAAGCTCGTTTTGTACCATCCAATTGATTTTGGACGACTTTTTGTCACATCATTTTGCATTTTTGAATAATTCTGTACAGGTGTTTGTTCTACTGGAACATTTGTGCGTTTCTTTGTACAAGCTGTTGCGACATTGGACAACAACTGAGTCATTTTTGAGAATTTTTTTGTTTTTCTGACGTTGTGAGTCATAAAACGAGGGAAGCAGAAACAAAGACAGACAGAGGAGACGCAGAGAAAAAGACGGAGGCAGCGAGAAGAGAGAAGGTGGACGAGGAAGCTGTTGTAAAGACAAAAATAGAGACAGATGATTGGATCTGAAATGTTAAAGTGCCCCGGAGATGCGGCACAAACACACACCACAACACACACGGTAACACACACAGACACACACACACTGACCCGGTGTGAGTCTCTGAGAGCGACTGTCCTCTCGCTGAACTCACAAACACACACTCACGACACGCACACAATGGTCACATGGTGTTCAGGACACCCCCGCTGGGATGTCATCGCCATGGTTACAGTCTAAGTTCAGAGTTAGGACATAAAACACACACCAGCGTCCGCCGGCAACACCGAGCACACAGGGTTTGTGTTGCCGGTGTGTGTCTGTGCGCGCCTCCGCCTCAGTCGGTCCTCGGCCGGTGCTTCTGGTGCCACAGGGCCGTCGGCAGGTTCTGGCAGCCCTGGTACTCGCGCCGCAGCTCGCCGTCCGTCAGCGGCGGCGTGGCGTTGCAGGGAGCGCCCGCCAGCGTCACGTTCAGCAGGCCGGCCCACGGCTCCAGGAGGCGGGACATCGCAGCGCCCTGGTTCAGATACAGGGTTCAGGTGAGCAGGACCAGCAACAACAACATACTGGATCAGTTCTAAGACACTCTGGACCCGTTTGGAACAACATCATAGTCGACAATTTCTAAGGAATTGTGGACGTACAGACTTGAACAAGTACGTCCACGATGAAGACCACGTTCATCATGTCAGGCTGGAGTTTCCAACGACTCCCAGAACGCCGACACATGAATCTGTGTCCCGCAAATAAAACGATCTTACATTTTGGTTCGTTCATAGATTTATTTATAGGCTTTCTGACTCACAGGTTCTGGATGGTTCCAGTCAGGACTTTGGGGAGACCAGTCTAGAACCTTCATCCCAGCCTGATGGAACCATTTCTTCACCACTTTGATGTGTTTGGGCTCATTGTCTGGTTGGATCATCCACCTGTGTCCAAGATCAACCTTCTGCTGATGGTTTCAGGTTCTCCTGAACAACGTGGAGGTGATCCTCCTTCTTCATTGGTCCACTGACTTTGTGTAAAGCTCCAGGTCCACTGGCAGCAGAACAGAACCAGAGCATGATGCTGCCACCTCCATGCCTGATGGTAGGTTTGGTGTTCTTGGGGTTAAAGGCCTCACCTTCTCTGGAGGCTCACGTCTGACACGATAAACATGGTTTCTACAAGTGGATGTAAATTGTTTGTCCATTGGACCACTGCTGAGTCGTTTTAGATGAGCTTTTTTAACATTGGACACATTTGCAGACATGAACTTCTGAACTATTTTTTGTATTTTTTAAACTTTAGTAACTTTTTCTCATCTTGGATAAACTTTAAGTCATTTTGGACACATTTTGTCTCTAACTGGACCATTTTGTTTGAGCCATTTGTTGTCACAGTGGACACATTTTAGAACATTTAAACCGTTTTGGGGTAATTTTATAAAGTTGTTTATGTCACATTGTACAGATTTTAGTCAGTTTGAATCCTCTTTGGTGGAAGATGTGATTAGGAACGAGTTTGGGAAAATAAAACCAGGTGAGCAGGTACCTTGCCCAGGTGGTCCAGCAGGCAGGTGGCGGGGCTGATGAAGGCCCAGCTGCCGTCCTCCCAGCCCGGACTCGGCCTCTGGGTCTGGTGGGCGTGGCTCTGCCGGGCCGGGCTCTGGATCAGAACCACGTTGAGGTGTTTCTGGGAGCCACGCAGCCTCTTGGACAGAACGCCGCTGTAGCTCTGGTCCACGAACAGCAGGACGCGAGTCGCCCTGCAGCCGGCGAGGTCGGCCAGCAGCTCGTTGACGGAGTAGCGCTCCTTCAGATCGGCCTGAGCAGAGAACGAAATAGACGTTAGCTTCAGTGACATCAAGACGGGTTTCAGAGGGAGGTCTGGGTGAAGGCACCGGTCTGTTCATGTGCGTAAAATAAAACAGTGGAATATCCTGAAGATTTACAGCAGAACACAAAACACGTTTTTATACATAGGGGTGTCATAGGAATTACCGGTTAGTCAACTACGTCCCATTAGTGATTTAGCTAATTGAAAATATATTAACCAACGGGGCAAAACAAGAAGATCATGCATGTAAGAAAATGTATTGAAAAGTTATTCTGGTAGTTTAATGGTAGCAGCTGGACCTGCTTGAGTTCCTTGAAGACATTACACCTCTCACCCAAGAGGCTTCATCAGCTCTGAGCCTGAGAAACAGGTTTTGGTGACACTGGACTGGTTTTGGTGACACTGGACTGGTTATGGTGACATTGGACTGGTTTTTGTCAAGTTGAACGGTGCTGGCTGTCGTTATGGTTACGTGTTTTTATTATTATTATCATGTTAGACAGATTTCAGGTCTCTCTGGGGTAGTTTTGTCACCTTTTTCATTTTGTCATGCAGAGTGAAACACTGAGTCTGTACATGTTGTACAGATGTAAACAGTTGAGACTATGTTGCGCCTCCACTTCCTACAGCTGGTACCACCTGTGGACACTCCTTCATGGTTGCTGAGGTGCAGGACTTCACGTTGGAGTTTCAAATGAGCCGACAGTGAGGTAAAACCTGAGAGAAGTGAACGAGGTGGTTCCTGGTTGTTCTTACGATGCCGTTGAGGTTGGCGTCCCACAGCAGCATGGTGCCGTCGTTACGCGTCGGCGAGTTCAGGTACAGAACCAGCGTGTCGGCGCAGTGCTGCTTCCTGCAGACGTACGACACGTGGTTACGGATCACCGCTTTCTCCGTCGCCGAGTACACGCCCTCGACGTCATCTGTGGGGGGAGGAGACATTCAGTTCAGATCTGCTTCTCTTAAACCCCGAACAGGAAATCCCACTGATTTCTATTCACGTGGCCACTGCTGCTGTTTGGGTGAGGGTTGCCACGGCGACCTACCCGGAAGCTGCCCATTGCTGGCGAAGAAGGTCTTGATGTGGTCTTTGTGGAAACCGTTGTTCCGGAGCATCTTGTAGAACCTCTGCAGGTTCTGGACGTGACGCTGGAACGTCATCTGCTGCTGCCAGCCGCCTGCATGCACACAAACACTGTGAAGCACGGCGGTGGCAGCATCATGGTGTCGGCACATTTCATATTTAACCTCATTAACAGAATCTGTTATGTACATTTTTGAGTCATTCTGGACACAGTTTTGTCATTTTGGACCATTTCCGAGTCATGGACATGTTTTAGCAGCGTTTTTTTTGAATAATTTCGGGCAGGTTTTGGTGGTTTTACTGCATTTAGAAAACATTTCAGCCAACAGTCAGTAGAGATCCAAACTAAAGACATCCAAACATGCCCGATAAAGCTCAGTCAGTGTCTGTTCTATGTGTTTCGGTGCAATTTCGGTGGCATTTGGTATAAAACAAGGTCCGACCTGAGATGAGCACGGCGTGGTCGCAGGTCTGGTAAAGGCGGCAGGACAGGTGGGTGGCCAGAGGCTGCTGGTGGCAGCGGCGGGTGTTTTTGTTCAGTTCACAGCTCGAAACGGGCAAACTGGGAGAGCTGATGGGCAGCGGCTGAGGACACCTGGCAAACTCTGCGTGATCTGTGGGTTCGTAAAGAGAAAAGACATCAGTGCTTCTGCACACTGCGAAGGAAACACGTATCCTGTTAGCATGTTAGCATGCTAACATACACTGTGTCAATGCACAGCTGGTGTGTGCACTGCCAGACACGCCGTCCCCGCTGTAAGGCACGGTGGTGGCAGCATCATAACGTGAAGATACTTAATGAGATAAAACCTCATTTCCAGAGTCCACTTTGCACATTTTTGCATCATTTTGGACACAGTTTTGTCATTTTGTTTTAGCGCAGTGAACAGATTTGGAGACATTTCAGCCAATTTTCAGTCTATTTTAGAAAAAAAGAAACACTTTTGTCTTATTGGACAATTTTTTTGTCATGATGGACAAAAAAAATGTAATTTTAAAACATTTTGAGTAATTCTGAACAAGTTTCGAATCAATTTGGACAATTTATACAACATTTCGTTCCTAAAAATATGGAGAAAACTCAATTTTTTAAAAGTCTTATTTCAAGAAAACAGTGGATCAATTAATTTAAAACGTGGTTATGTGAGTTTGAGTGAAGGATGTTGGTGGTTTTCTGCATTAAGAAGACATTGCAGCCAACAGTAAATGGAGACAGTCAATCATTAGTGGCATCATTAACATTCAACAGTTCAACGCATTTCTGCTGCATTTGATGGCGTCCAACCACATCTTCATGGATGTTTAATGGTGAACCTGAGGCTCCTGGACTGAGAGGCAGGACTGTTGTCATGTGACCTCAGACCACCCACACCTGAAGCTACCTGCAGCTCGTGAGAACAAACGCTGGGAAAAATGTTGAAGCAAACACAGAAAATCCCCGGATAACACCCCAAACACAAGCGTGGCGTGTCTCCGTTTATGAGAAGGAAGCACAAGATTGAGGGGTTGAGTCGAAATAAAATGGAATATAATGCAGGAAGGCTCTCCGGCACTCTGGGCTGCTTTCATGTCTTTATTCTCCCGCTCAGTAATTTACTCTTCTGTCCTTTAATTTAGTTTTTCGGCAAGAAAATCTGCGACTTCGTTTTGGGCTGAAACTAACGATTGTTTTCATCTGTTGATTATTTTTAAGATTCATGATTTGGGCTCTAAAATGTGAGAAAAAAAAGTGGATCAATGTAAAATGATTGCAAAGTATGTTGATATTCGATTCATCAGTTTGAGTAATTTTTTAATTTCAAGTCGTTTTGGACACGTTTTTGTCACTTTGGACAAGTCGCAAGTCGTATTGTACAAGTTCTGAGTCATGTTGGACAAGCGTCGAGTTGTTTTGGACAATTTTCTGTCATTTTTTAAATGATCCGAGTTGCGAGTCTTTTACGGTCATGTTCTGAGTCATTTTTTACAGGTCCTGAGTCGGTTAGAGTCGCCTTGGACACATTTTTGTCATTTTGGACGAATGTGAGTGAAGCTGGATAAGTTTGGAGTCACTTCGGCCAAGTTTCAAGTGTGTTTGGGTTCTTTTTTAATCATTTATGATGAGTTTCGAGTTGTCTTGGAGAAATATTCAGTATGTTAGACATGTTCTGAGTCATGCTGGACAAGTTTCGCGTCAATTAGACCAAGTTTCAAGTCGTTTTGGACACAGTTTTTTTTAGGTCATGTTGGACAAGTTTTGAGTCATTTAGGCCAAGTATCAAGTTGTTGTGGATGCTTTTTACGACCATTTTTGATGAGTATTGAGTTGTTTTAGACAGGTTTTGAGAGATGTTGCACAAGTTTTAAGTCATGTTGGACAAGTTTCAAGTCAATTAGGCCAAGCTTCAAGTCGTTTTAAACACATTCTGAGTCATTTTGTATTATATATATTTTTTTTATTTTGGACAAATTTCAAGTCAACTTGGCCAAGGTTTCAGTTGCTGTTGGACACATTTTATTTTGGACAGGTTTCAGGTTGTTTTGGACAAATTTAGTCATGTTTCATGTCACGTTGGATACGTTTTGAGTCATTTTGCACATCCTGAGCCATTTAGGCTAGTTTAAAGTCAACTAAGTCAAAGTAGATCCTCTGCAGATTCCTTCTTTCCTCCTCTACAACGGTAAACCGAACATCTTTGGACAAAACAAGACCTTTGAGGAAACACTGATCCACATGCTTCACCGGTATTTGACATTTCAGAGGCCAAACAGCTGATGTTCCGGATGAATCAATCAGCTGTTTGTTCTCCAGAATGTCAGACAATGGTAGAAAATGTGGATCAGTCTTGTTTTGTCCAAAGATGTTCAGTCGTAGAGGAAAGAAACCAGAAAATATCATGTTGACGAAGCTGCAACCTCAAAAATGCAGATTAATTAATTAGTCAGTTGTCTTTGTAATCATTTAATCTTCACTTTTAGTTGTTTGTGTTGCTGTTTGACCGTTTTGTGTCTCAGTTAACGCGTCTTTGTCACGTTTTACATCTCACATAATTAGTTGCGGCTGTTTTCCGTCACTCTGGTCATTTATCGTCACTGTTTTTGGTCCATTTGCGTCACTTTCCGGTGATTTTAAGTCTCATTTTAGACAAGTCCTCCTGAGTCATGTGAAGCAACGTTAAAGTCGTTTTGGAGAGGTTTCACCTTATGTTTTGAGTTTTCTGGCAAAATTTCTAGATGTTTTGGACAGATTTGGTCATTTTTGACAAGTTCTAAGTATGTTGGACACGTTTTGAGTCGTTCTTTTTAACAAACTTTTGTAATTTTGGTTTCATGTTTTGAGTCTCGTCTCGACTTCCTGTCAGGGATCAGTTTCTGATTCTGATTATCAGGGAACGGGAGACTCGGGGTGTTGCAGTACACAAGAGTCCCGGTCCAGTATCTGTGGACACAAACAGATTTCTGACAGTAGCTGATAGACCGTCGTGAACCGAGCAGGAACACACTGACAGCCAAACGTCCTGAGTGAAGACAACAGAAGAAGAAGGAAGACGTTGGAGCTGAAGCGGTGGCTTTAACCTACCGACACATCTGAGCCTCTGCGTCCGGTTGCCGTCTCCGACTCCGACCACCAGGGGGAGGAAGTGGACCTCGCAGAGCCCTCCGATGGTCCGCTCCACCAGACGGCCGCCGGCGCCGACGGAGCCACCGCGAAGAGCCCCGCCCCCCAGCCGGCCGTTACCCATGAGCCTCTCCGGCGCCGCTTGGCGACGCTTCAGCTGGTTCTGACAGCGACCCTTCAGAGCCAGAGTCAGACACTCGTCACCTGGAGACACGAAGACACGAGTTCAAACCAAAGTCCTGCAGCTCCATGGAAACAGGAGCCATTTAGGAAGAGTTTCAAGTCACGATGGACAAGTCTCAAGTCATATTGTACAAGTTCTGAGTCATGTTGGACAAGTTTCCAGTTGTTTTGGACACATTTTGTCATTTTGGATCAATAGGAGTGAAGCTGGACAAGTTTTGAGTCATTTAGGCCAAATTTCAAGTTGTTGTGGACGCTGTTTCTATTGATGAGTATGGAGTTGTTTTGGACAGGCTTTGATAGATGTTGCACAAGTTTTAAATCATGTCGGACAAGTTTTGAGTCAATTAGGCCAAGCTTCAAGTCGTTTTAAACAGATTTTGAGTCAAGTCGGCCACTTTTGGAGTTGCTGTTGGACAACATTTTATTCAGGACAGGTTTCAGGTCATTTTGGACAAGTTTAGTCACGTTTCAAGTCACGTTGGACAAGTTTCAAGACTTTTTGACCAAATTACGAGGTGTTCTGAAAAACTTTTTGTCAATTTGAGCTGTTATTTTGGAAAATTAGCTGTTTCTCCTCACGGTTCATCCTTCTGCACGAAGGTTAAAACGAAGTCACATTTACATTAAAACAGGAAAGAATCTCAGAATTATAATTCATCTGTTTATTTTCTGTTACAGGATCGAAGTAAGACTCACAGAATAAGGACGTTTGGATGAAATGCCTCGATGTTCAGGTTCGATTTGGTTCATTTATTGACAAAAACACACGTCACATATGACTCGTGTTGTTTTTGAAAAACGAAGTTGAGAACGTTGACGACCGGGTTGAAAGGGTTAACTGACTGGTTTCTGCTCCACTGACCTTCATCCTCTTCTTCGGGTTCGTCCGTCTCCTCTCCTGCTTCCTGCCCTCGTCGGGTTAAATGAGGTCTAAAGAAAGTTTTCTCTCCGAGACGCCGGTGCAAATCCATCTCCAGAACCCAGCAGGGGTCCGGAGCAGCGTCCATGAATAATTCACAGGTGTGTGTTGGAGTTCACCTGAACATCTGGCCGCCTCACCTCGGTCACAGCAGGAGGCCCAGAACCTGCACTTCGCCACACGCTACCTTCACGGGACGCTGCCTCTTAACCTTCAATCCACGGCAACGCTGCCGTTTGCGCCGCTTTTAGAAACGCTGATGTTTCACCGAAATGGTCTCCGAGTCGTCTGCAGAACCCGCTTCCAGTAGATTTAAAGGAATGAATGGTTTCAGTGAAGTCCTGATCCACTGAGGCCGAGCTTTAAGTTGTTTTGGACACATTTTTAACATTTCTGGACACGTTTCGAGTCACGTTTTAGTCGATTTTTCAGTATTTTTGGAAAACGTTTGAGTAATTCTGGACACATTTTGGACAAATCAAGTCAAGAGGGACGAGTTTAGAGTCATTTAGAAGAACGTTTTAATCATTTCTGGCAGATTTTAAGTCGTGTTGGACACATTTTCAGTCATTTTAAACAACTTCTAACTCATTTTGACCCGGTGTTGGACAAATTCTGAGTTGTTTTGGACTCGTTTTAGGTACTTTTTTAGAGGTTTCAGTCACTTTGGACACATTCTGAATTAGTTTGACATATTTTTACATAATTTTGGAGAAGTTCTGTTGCTTTGGACACATTTGAATTCATGTCAAACAGCTTAAAACTCATTTTGGTTTCTGTGTTGGACTAACTGAGTGATGCTGACTCACCCAGGTAGATGCCGTCCAGGTGGGAGCACCTCTTCTTGGTCACGTTCACGTCCACGTAGAACAGAACCACCGGGTGTCCGAAGTTCTCCCCGGGACTCGGGTCCAGAACCAGAACGGCATCGTGGGCCGTGGACCCGGACAGAAGCTGCTGGTGTCGGTGGGCTGTGGCTTCGCCTCCGTTCAGAACCGGACCGACGCCGAAACCTCCCCGAGTCTTCGGACCCAGAGAGCCGCCGGAGGAGTCGGGCAGGATGGAGACGACTTTATCTGACGGACCTGCAGGGTTCGGACCGACCGAGACAGAGACTGAGGACGGGTTCAGGATTCTCAGGTGATTTCAGACCACAAGTAGCATCAGAACCAGGTGTTGGTCGACCATCAGTCAACCAACCATATACACTCTGTGTAGCTGGAGAAGGTTCTGTCACTTTGGACCCACTTTGACTCACGTTTGACAGAATTTTTGTGATTCTGGATGAGTTTAAAGTCATTTTAAACAGCTTTTTGAGTTTTTCAAGTCAATTTTAGGCAAGTTTTGGTACTTTTAGACGATTTCTGAATCATTTCTGGTAGATTTGTGATTTATTCTTCAGTATTTTTAGTGATTACTTTTAGATTTTATCACATTTTGGACGAGTTTTGAGCCAGTTTGGCGTCAAACCGTCTGCTGTGGCTGCACGAAACCTTTGCTTCAGGAGGTATGATATAAAATACATTAGTTATTATAAGACATGTTTGGTAATAATAAACGTAAAAACACTCACAGGCGGTGTTTTCAGGATGATTTATTTCCTTTCACTCATCACCTGAACTAATACAGATTAAAATCCGTTTACTGTTCAGGACTCAGTCGTATTAAACGTCACCACAGACGATAACTGTTGATTAATTGTGATTTTACCGACAGGGACAGTTTAGTATCTGTAGGAGACGATATTTAGAAACACAAAGGCTTCATTATGTTGTAAATTCTGAGTGATTTCTATTTAAAAATGCTTTAAACACACAGTTTGTGTTTTATTTGCTGATTTAATTCACGTTTACAGCTTTTACCTTAAGTCCCACAGAGTAGAAATACTCTGATAGAAGTAAAAGTACAAACGCTTCGGCATCAAAATACACAGAAATACTACCAGAACGGCTTTTTATTAAACTGGATCACTTTTAAATCAAATTTCTGTTCATGATATCTACATTCTGATGAAATTATTAAAGACTTTTAGGATTTTGTTAAACTGCACTTTAACTAAAAAGAAAAAAAAAAAGAAGAACACTTTTCCAGAACCTTGTTTGTATTTGGCAGCAGATCTTTAATTAGAAAAAGTGAAAAAACAGAACAGATTGTGCAGAATAATTAACTATAATAACTGGTAGAGCCAATAATTAGCTGTTAAACGGGATGTGAACGAGTTTATTTGCTGCTCAGTGAAGGTTCGTCCTGTAATTAACCTGCAAAATGAGTTTTATTGATCATGTTCTGGATAACTGATTAATTATTGATCGTGCAAAGAAACTAAAACAGTCAAATAAATGTAATAATAAATAAATAAATATAAAAATAAAGCAGCAGAAAATAAATACACTTTTGTTTGTTGTTTATCAAAATAATAAATATGTGAAATTTAATATGTTTATTGCTGTTTTATTTTGAAGACTTTTGCCTGTTTTCTTTCTAACCTTAATTTAATTTAGTCATTACTTATCAGGTCTTTGGTCTTTTTTCCGACCAGGACACTGGTTTGAACACCTGTCCGGTTCCTACCTGCGGCCGCTCGAGGCTCCGACACGTAGACGGCGACGGCCGACGGCGGCAGGTGGGCGAGTCGCCGGCACTCGGACTCGGACAGCGAGGACGCGCGGAGGCACCGGTCCAGCTGGTCCCACTGCAGCGACTGGAGGCCCGAGCGGACCCAGCGCTCCAGCCGGGCCGGAGCCAAGCCGGCGGCCTGCAGGACGAGGACGGGCAGCAGCAGCAGCAGGAGACGCTCCATCGGCTCTCAGGTTGATTACAGTCTGATTAATCCGGCTTCTTGTTGTTTCTACTCTTTGTTTTCACTCCTGTTGTTCCTCGTGGTTCATCCTTTTCTCTGTTTGTCTGATTCACAAACCGTCTCCAGATATTTCTCTTTACTTCTTCACTTCTGACTCATTTCTGTGGTCGAACTTTTCCGGCTGTCTGAGATCATTTATTTAAACCTCCAGAAGCTGAAGCTGATATTCCTTCTTCTTCTTCTTCTTCTTTCCTTTTCTCTTAATCTGGACCTAAAACTGAGGAAAGTGCATCCTTCACTCAGTCCCTCCTTTTCTTATTCCTAGTTTCTTCCTTTTTTCTGTACTTGCAGACAAAGCAAACTGTTTTCTTCTGTTATTCCGTCTGTGTTCTCATCCTTTCCTCCTCCTTTGGTTGATCCTTCTGCAGAAAATAAATCCAGGCGGTTTGAACTTTCTCTTCTTCCAGCTTTTTCCTCCTCTTTCTTTCTTTCTTTCTTT